CACTTTGCATTGTTGGTGAGGACAACAGAGGCTTTAAGGACTCCTTTCTCTGATGCAGCTTAGATTGCCATAATCAACTAGTTGCAAATTCTGCCCTACCCAAAACCAAAAGGCAATTCCTCCACTTCATATCATACATAAACCAAAGCTATTACGGCTCTATTTAATTCTAATTTTTTGGGAAGGAGATATTATTTCCATTGAACTGGTTTCCAGAGCTTTAGCGTAAATTCTAAACCTTCTCAATGACTGGAAAACCATGACAAATCATATTTATGACGGGAATAAAACCAACCTTTCATTTTATAGCTTCATAACATAATCTTGCATCCCACAAAACAGCATATCAGTACGATGCCGAGTGCCAATTTTTGATTGTAATCGGTTGTAAACCAAAAGGGAGAGACCTTTGCAAAGTGGTTGCTTTGGGTGAATGAGTCTCCAATTATGCATAGCATTTCAAAATATTTAGTTTTCCCACTTTAATTGCAGAGAAGTTGACAGGAGTGTGGAACATTAGAATATCTGGTCGTTTTGTCTACTATTGATTATTACTTTGCTAATGTGCTGAGCATTAAACATAAAACAGTAGAATAAAAAGTCACTGAACATTCTTTTTTGTTTATAAACCATAAACCTAATCCATTGAGTGCAATAATTTATAGGCATATGTTCCAGTTTTAGTACAAAAATATTTGGTACAAGATGATGGAAAATGTAAAGCAAATAAATATATAGCATACTTCAGGGCTGTGGGCAATCTCTGCCTGCCAACAGTCCAAATTCTTTATCAAAGAAACACAGATCCTGTGACCAGAATGAATTATTCAAATTAAACATAATCATCACATACATTTATTTAATTTGAATAGTTTATTCTGTTTTGATTTTTTTTCAGAGTTTTTTGGGGTACTTGGCCATGGGACAGGATAACAGAAGGGAATGGAGTAGTGGAGGGGCACAGATAAATATACTGTATTATGGAGCATCCTCACACTGAGTCCGACCACTGGTCCTTCGAGCCCAGGCTTTCCCCACCTGAAGCCCTTGGAATGCAATTCCCATCATTCCTGATGCTGCCTGGGGCTGATGGGAATTGGAGTCTGACATCATCTGGAGGGCTCTAGAAGTCTGATAGGTAGCAATTTTTAGTCTGTTCAGCAAAAAGAATAAGAGTCTTATGCAGGTGCAGCTATGACCTGTAGGCACTAGAGCTTGGGCCTTTTCAGTTATGACCCCTCATTTTGCAGAACTCCCTTACTGACCTCTGAGTTATGGCTTCCAAATAAGCTCTGAAAACACGTTTATTTCAGACTGTGATTAGCTGAGATGCTTTCTCTTTAGGCTGGCCTTGGATTATTTTCTACTGGTGGGGATTTTCTATTGTATTTAAAGAAGTGAGCCATTAAAGGTTTGATAGATTTTGGGGTGGCTAGACTTGTACACTATTGTTTTCAACTATGGTATTTTATTGCAATTGTGTTTATAGTTTTACTCTTTATTTATTACATTTGTATACTACCTTTTTCTTCCAAGGAGCTCACATGGTTCTCCTCCTCATTTCCTCCTCACAACAAGCCTGTGAGGTAGGTTAGGCTAAGAGATTCTGACTGAGCTTCATGGCTAAGTGGGGTGATGTTAACGCTGGCCTTCCAGGCCATAGTCCACTACTCTAACCACTGCAGCTTGCTGGCTTTTTGCCAACTACTAAAGTAAATCTGCAAAGCATCCAGTATGTTTTCTGGCATTGCACGTGATTAGTGTGACTTCCATGGCAGCTCCTTCGATCCCAAAAATCCCAAGAAGTGTTTCACAAAGAGAAATGCAGTTTCCAGCCGCCTTTCAAGCCAATTTTTCCTCCCCTCTTTTGCCCCTTTGGCTACAAAGAGATTGGAACCACCAAAATGATGGCTTAATTCATCAAAAAAGTGCAATTAAAGGGAAATGATAGAAAGTGACCACATCAAGGTGGAACTGCAAGAAGGTTTCGAGTGGAAAGAAGAAAGTTAATCACTTGGGTAAAAAATACAATTAAACTTAAAATGATTACATTAAGAAAAGCACCTTAAAAGCACTGCAGGTGCCCAGGTCAATTTTTATTAGATGTGTTGCAGAGGTTCCGCCCCCCACCCTCCCTGTAGATTAATCTTCATCTTTATTGAATTAATACCCTTCCACTCACATTCTGTTCCCTGCCTTTTAAGTCTCTTCTCCTCCCAACTTGCTAACCTAATTGCATGCAGTGAAGTGTTAGGATGCCCTATTACCATTTTCCTGCAGGATAGGGCACATTCCTTGGCTGTACCTGATACCTTCAGCCATAACTGGCTTGCTTTTATTTTGAACATTGCTCTGCTTCCAAGAATGAGGGACAGGGAGCATTGATCAAAACCAACCAGGCATAATGGGAACTGACATTATGCAAGTTTCCCTGCCGAGATTTGCCAACCACAAACTGCAGCGGCCAAACCCCTGCTAATTCCGGGCCTGGCCACTTTTGAGCAGCAACGGCCAACCCTATCAAACACTGTGGTGGTGAAATTATGAGCTAAAGCAGGGATGGTAAGCTTTTCTTTCCTTTGTGTAGGGAGGAGGGCTCTCTTTGCTTTTCTAAATAATGGGAGGGGGTGGAAGTGGTGTCTTTTTTTGCCACATTCTAAACCCTTGGGCTTCCTATTGGTGCTATCTAGCAGCTTAAATATTAGTTATTTAATGTATTTATTACATTTATATCCCGCCTTTCTTCCAAGGAGCTTGAGGTGGCATATGTTGTTCTCATCCCCACTCCTCATTTTATTCTCACAACACCCCTGGAAGGTAGGCTGAGAGACTGTGACCAGCCCAAGGTCACCCAGAGAGCTTCATAGCTGAATAGGAACTTGAACCCTGGTCTCCCAGGTCCTTATCCAACACTCTGACCATTACACTACATATGGAGCATATTCACTGCATACAAAGAGCTAAATGTCCGTGTATTTATTTATTTAACGTGGTGTGGGGCGTGTACAATGGTTGGTTTTTGTTTTTGTTTTCAGTTTGAAGCTCACAGTTCTTTAGAAAACCTTCCAGGGGCCATATGCCAGTGGTGGGCAGGGCTAGAAGCAAAAGTGGATGGAACTGCAAGTATTAATTTATTCACACACCCATCAGTATCCACCATCCATCCAAGCAAGCAAGCAAGCAAGCAAGCAAGCAAGCAGCATGTTCAGAGTTAAAGGACAGGTTTTAGCTTGGCAAAGACACTCAAGGGAGGGTAATAGGGAGGACTGATGAAGTATGTGGCCTTGAGAGAAGGGGTGTGGCATGGGGAGAGTCCTGAGGGCCAGAGAGAAAGGCTTGGAGGGCCACATTCAGATCCAGATCACAAGGTTCCCTTACCTGATACGTGTGTGTATATCTATAACTATATCATCTATATCTATATCTATCACATACGTATACATAGATGTACTCCACTACCACTTTTCTAGTACAGTGGTACCTCTGGTTGCGGACGGGATCCTTTCCGGAGGTCCGATTGGATCCCGAGGTTTCCACAACCTGAGGACCGCTTCTGCGCATGCGCGTGTGGCAAAACCCAATAAAATAATTCCGGGTTTGCTGCGTGTGCATCCCGAAGTTTATGTAACCAGAGGATTACGTAAATGGAGGTACGACTGTATAAGCTGCCTCCAGAGCCGGCCCTGCAATTAGGTAGAGTGAGGCAGCCACCTCAGGCAGCTGGTTTTATTTTATTTTATTGTAATTATAAGATGGATATATATACACCCACCCACTCACTCACCCACCCACCCAATGAACAGGGTGTCTTAAAGGCCTTTCAGATTACAGGACGAGGAGGCATGGAACCAGTTCCAGGCCTTTGGCAGCTGAGTATGAGTGTCATGAAAAGGCATCAAACTTTTATTTGTTTGCTTTTTAATTATTGTTATTATTACTATTTTACTATCAAGGAAGGGGAGAGGTGCTTGTGAGACTTCTGGTCCCAGGTGCCAAAATAACTTGACAAGGCCTTGAGTACTGTGGGGCCTTGGCTTAAGGTGTGTGTTTTCATTTGCTACTTTTGCTTTTGGAAAATGTCTTCAGTTGGTCCTGGCAGCCTCTGAAAGTGGTATACAGAACTAGTATACAAGGAGAACATCAGTTATAAATGCATAAATGCATACAATAAAAAGGCTACTAATGGTGGGCGGTGGAGAGAACTGCTATAAAAGCCAAATAGGTGTAAAGTTAAATTATAGGGTTGGATTTAGACAGCTTGGGGGCAGAACTCTACCCATGGGACCCATTCACTGGAAGAAGTAGGGGAAGTGATATTTATTTTATTTTCCCCTTCTCCTTCCTTGTATTACTATTGTTTATTTCATTTGTGAATCGCTTCCGATGAAGCATTTTGAAGTAATTTCACAATGCAATAAAAGTAATTTACAATTTCAAATAGAAAATAATTTGAAATAAATTCAGATATCTATATCCTCCCACCCAAGATGCTCCTGACCCTCCAGAACAGTGGGGCAGGTAGTGCTGGGGACTGCAGAGGGAAAGAGGAATTTGTGAATAATCTCTCCTTTGGGATCTTCCAATGGATCTTGCTGCCTTCAGTGAAAGCAGAGAGCCCTTCCCTTTGTGGAACATAATGAGGTTGAGCGCATAAGAAGGTCTTCATCTGGCATAGGAAGCCTAATGAAGCCAGGGCTACGCAAGTCTCTCTTTGGATCATGGTATTTCAGTTCTGGATTCTCCTCCCTTTCTTCCAATGAGCTCAAGAAGGCATGCATGCCCCCTCCTGCTTTCATCTTCACAACCACCTTGTGAGGGTAGGTTAGGCTGAGAGAAAATGAGTGGCACAAAGTTCCGCAGTGTCCTTCATAGAGCCATGTGTGAATTTGAACCTGGGTTTCCCCAGTCCTGGCCTGACACGTTTAAACCACACTGGTACGCTGCAAAGGTTAGGGTGCCACCACAGGGAAGTTCCCGGCTTTTCCTCAGATGGTGGAGGGGATTGGCAGAAAGGCCTTCGATATACACGTGCTGACAAGAAGACGGCTCCTTCTCTCAGGCTACTCTGGATAAAAGCTGGGCTTCTGGGAGAGAAGCTGTTTCTCAGCATTTAAAATGAACGCATTGGGCTGAGGTAATCTAGGTTATAATAATAATAATAATAATTTATTATTTATACCCCGCCCATCTGGCTGGGCCTCCCCAGCCACTCTGGGCGGCTTCCAAAAAAATATTAAAATACTATAATACATCAAAGGTTGACTTTGCTTCAAGGCTGGAGGAGGAGGGAGTGAGGCCTGAAGAGTGGGAAGCGCTTTCAGCTGTGTGGAAAAAGTAGGCCCTTCAAGGTACTAAGAAGCTTCTAGATGCCTGGAGTGGGAAGCCCTTTAAGCTGTGTGGAAAAAGTAGGCCCTTCAAAGTACTGAGAAGCTTCTAGATGCCTTCTGGCTGGTTCAGGGGATTCATCCCAGTGGCTATGCCTTTTTACTCCAAAGCTGGCCCATTTTTTGTGCCTATTGTTTTTCTTTCACACACCCTGTCTCTTCACGACACCTGGGACACCTCAGCTTTTGCACTACGGATTGTAGATGATCGATTCAAAGCTCCATGGTATGTACATGATGAGATGGCTTTCCTAATTTTAATTTGATTTATAATTCCCAGATATGTTGATAATTGGAATATCTGTCTGTACTTTTTAATGAGTATTTTGGGTTCTGTTTTATGTTCTTAATTTCCCCTCTTTTTATTGCATTCTTTCTTAATAAGTCTACAGAATTGGGGTCTGTTTATTTGGGTAAAGCCTTGGTACTGACTCCATTTCCTAACCTCTTGGTTGCTTACTATTGTGTAAGTGGTAAACCTGAGGCTCAGGGAGCAGAGAAACCCGTTTCTAGCTCTTTTTTTCTTTTAAATCTTAGGGGCGTCCTTGCAGGGTTGGTGTTAGATCCTGAATAGTAGTCCTGGCTGTAACACCAGAGTCTGGGCCCAGGATTTTGAGGAGCCAGTCCTTGACACAACCTTCTTTTTCTACATCCCTCTGCTGGGTTTCCTATCTCAATATGTTACAATATGAAAAGCATGGTTCTTTTTCTTATGAGTGGACCTAATAAACAATATTTGTTTTGCTTAAAAACTTTAAATAATTTCTCCTTCAGTTAAATTAATTTACGACCACTAAGGCTAAGGGAAACTGCTTCAGGACTACCAGTTTTCTATCTCTCAGAAACCAAAATTAGTTATATTATTATTACTATTTCTGAATTTATATGGCACTTAGTGCCCAGATGGCTTCTAAGCAGTTTTCAAAACATGGAAACCAATTACACATTGTACAACATTATGCCAATGTAACATGGGAAGGGAAGCTGAGGGCAGCTGCCTCATTTCTATTTTTATTTATTTTTAATTAGAAATTGGGAGACCAGCATGCAGGAAGAAATAATCTTTCTCCCTTGTACCAGGATGGGGAGTACCCATGGCTGCTTTTTGTCAGCAAAGAGAAGTGACCAGCCAAAGCATGGTTTTGAACCAACTGCCTAAAAAGACATCTAGTTTGAACTCAAATCCAAAGATAAGAAATACTTCTTGAGGTAAAGAAAAGCTGATGACTGCATTATTCATTGTAACCCATTTTTGTTATACTTCAAGCTCATAGTCCCTGTGCCAACCTATTACTAAACTGGTGAAGGCAGATCATGGCTGTTGTATGATATGTAGCAAACAACAGAAATCTTAATTTTATAATTAACCAGCAGCCTCTTGTCTGGCGTTGCTCAGGAATTCTATGAAATAAAAAAAAGTATACAGCTTTGAAATAAGTGGTAAAATTATTGCAGTTTTAATGGGTTCTGTCCACCACCTTGATTCAAAATGGTGTCCAGTTGCATCCAAACATAGACAAAAACTTGCTCCTTGATCTCAGGAACTAAATTTGGTTATAGCATTTAAAAAAGTGACCAAATGCCTAGCAAAAAACTATCTGAGATCCTTAAGTGGAGATGTCAAGGACAGGACCCGTGTTTGATATGCGCGTATGCCAGAATCTAGGTTGATCTCCTTCTTGAGTTGGAAAAGTTGGAAGGAAAAACAGCATATGGAAATAAGCTGGTTTGTTTGCTTGTTTAAATATGATTTTGGGATTCTGCCTTTGAAGTACTGCGTCTTGAGACTTAGGCGGAACACAGATTTTGTTGCTCCCACCAGTGCCTTTGTCAACTCACTGTTCACCACTTCTCCTCCTACATCTCTGTCACAGGACTGAGTGACAGATCTCTTACTCTCATTTTCTCTTCCTGACCCTAAGGATGCTCTCTGATTCTTTCCACTTCACTGCCAAAGGTTGATAGCATTATTCATTTCTCTTGGGGGGGGGGGATGTCGTATAGATTGACACAGGTCAGTGGTGATGGTTGGTGCATTCGCTTACAATGTCAGTCAGTGGTGGAGACTTTAATTATAACCCAGCATTTTGGGTGTCCCCAAAAGTAAGACTGTCACTGAACTTTGAAAGCTTAGCACTCGGGTTCCTAAACTGGTCCATGGAGTATCAGTGGTCTGGAAGCTTCATTCAGGTGGTCTATGGCATGTCTGTTGATTTGTGGTTGAAAATGGTAGCAGCACATCAATTGCATTAAATATTCATATTTATTTTTAATTGCCTTTTAATTGCTTCTTTAATTTCTTATACTGTATTTTATTGTATTTCAATTTGAATTCTATGGAATACAATAAAACACATTATATAAGAAATAAAATAAATGGTAAAAATACAATTAAAACCATACAGCGTATTGCACAGCACATTAATTGCTACAACTGGCAAGAAAAGCATTAAGTGTTCTGTCAAGATTCTCAGCAGTTCCCAAGTGGTCACTAGGAAGAAATGTTTGGGAACCACTGGCTTAGTAGAATCATAGAGTTCAGGTGATTTGCGTGTACTGAACTGGTACCTAATATTAGAGCTTACCTGCTAAGTTTTCCTAAAGGCATTTGCTGTGTTTGTTCTTGTTTTCCAGCCTTTTTGGCTGACATGATACCTTTCTGTCTGGAGGACCGAGTTTTACAATTTTGTCAGATTGTGTACTGTATTTTGGAACTCTGAACCTGTTGTTATTATTATTATGCAAATTATTGTTTTATTTTGTGAGAGAGACATTGGGTACTATATACAAATCTATGATCTATAAATATGCTAGATAGGTTTTGAAGTTAATATTTCAAAAATTCTGTGAAAACATTCTACCCCAAAGGCATCGGAAGAAGCTTTTAAATTTAACAAGCTAATGTTCAAAAAGTGACTCTGCTTCAAACAGGAATACGGAAGTTGTTTTCCTCCATACGTTGTCAGTTCTAGCCAGCATGGCCAATGGCCAGGGATGATGGAAAATGTACTGTAGGTCAACATCATCTTGGGGATTACAGATCCCCCAGTCGTTGGCTTTAAAAAAAAAAAAAAGCAAAACACAAAACATTCCCTCTGTCAAATGTTCTAGCCCAGAGAGTTTTAGAGAATTCATACTGTGCTTTTCCTCTTCTGAAAAACGGGGTATACTTCATTTTCTCTTTATCACATTCTCTGCTGCATTTTTTAATGTGAAATATTTTCAGCATTAGCCGTCAGTAGCAGAGTACTGTATAAACAGGGATATTATTTTGGCTATGGTGTCCTGATGTGATCTCCGCTTTTTCCCGTCCTCCCTCTGACATATTTGCCTGCAGCAAGGAACTCAACATATTTCTCTGCAGGGAAGAGCTCAACTTGTGATGTCAACCTGCTAAACACACAGTGCATGTATGTTAAAAACATGCCATTTGACCTCTGTTCTGCCAGTGGCTTGTCATTTGAAATTTCAATTGCAAATTGTGTGTTTGTTTAATGCTTTCTCTTATAAACACAAATTAATTTACGAGGTCTCTCCCCGTTTGCTAATGACACTTGTTCAAGAGTGGCTTACATTACCAATCATTAGAAGGAGGCCATTAGTTTCCTCTCTTTTAATATTACATAAGAAGATAAATCCTTGCCCAGTTCAGCAGCTGAAGGCAGACTCTGATTTAGATTTGTGGAGGCCCTTGTTACCTTGCCAGTTTGGGCCCTCAATTACTGTGCCCCATCTACATGCTGGAACAGAGTGTGAGTGAGACTAAAATACACACATAAATTCAAATTTTGAATTCTTACAGTTTGGTACAGCAGCTAAACTTTTTGTTTTGGTTCAAAAACTGTGAAAAATAAAAAATAAAATCATTTACTAAAATGGCTCCCCCCCCTGTACAATAATATTCTTTTGTTCCCTGACTACGTTTTCATCTTGCCTTTTCTCCATGGAGGTCAAGGTGGTTGCAAGAGCTTCCACCCTCTTCATGTCTTCAGGACCCCAGGAGTTCTCTTGTCTTCAGAAAACACCTGGTGAGCTCTTCACTGGGATTCAGAGCCCTTCTGAGGTCCGTTCTGAAAATATCAGATTCCTCCCTTCTCTAGTTCAATTTAACTCAGGTACCAAGTACCAACATAAACACAAAGGAAGTTTCCCCATCACCAGTTACAGGACACAGTTATATGGAGAAGCAGCCAGAAAGAAGCACATCATAATGAGACTATTATGTAGGAACATTGAACTAGATAGTATGGGACAGTCCTGTATGATGTAGAGTTCTGTTCTTAGCTACTATGCTGTGCAAGCTTTATGGGCATGTTTAAATTTAATTTTTTAATTCAAATGTTAAAAGTGTTCTTGAACATTTTTCAGATGATAAAAGTAGAGTAAAATCAATATAGGAACCAAATACATCATGCAGAAAAGATGATACTATATATTAAATGTGTGGGTCCCTTTTTGGACTCAAATCATATTTTTTCATTGGGTATTGGACAAAATTAACACATTCACAATGCAACCCTATACCTGCCTTCTCAGAAGCAAGTCCCATTGAGTTCAGTCCTACTTGCCTTCACTGACCTAGGAGTAAACCCTATTGATCTCCAATAGGACTTAATTCTGAGCAGATATTTAGAGGATTGCAGTGCTATTGACAAGTGATGGAAACTGAATATGTCCAACCCACCCAAAGCTTGGAAACTATCCTTAATGCAGGCTCTTCCTTGTACAAACCGGCTTGTGTTTTATATCCATAGACTCGATGGGCTTTTTAAGCTGCCAGTGAATTGCTTTACAAAAACACATTAGCATGGTTTAAAAGGTTGTGGTTTTTTCTGTTCCCTCCCCTCCCTGACTGTCGTAACTCTTGGCAAGATAAACGTAAAAGGGTTAATTGATCAGACCTTTTAAAAGGTGGCATAAGCACTCGCTAGCATCAGCAATTTTAAGAATGCATTTCACCACAAACAACAACTGGACCTAGATAAGCTTCTTCTATGCAATGGCTAAAGTTATTGGGCATAGTCGTAAGTACAGGAAGCTGCTTTATACTGAGTCAGATCACTAGGTCCATGTAGCTCAGTGTTGTTCACACTGACTGGCAGTGGGTCTCAAAGACAGGGAGTCCTTGTCAGCCCTACCTTGATATTCCAGGGATTGAATCTGGAATCACCAGCATGCAAAGCAAATGTTCTGCCACTGAGTTTTAGCACTTTCTGGAGAAAATCAGAAATGCTGCCTAATCCCACTGGGACTGAACCATATTGCTGATATCCTAGGCATGTCCCATTATTTTAAGTGGGACTGGATCATCTCTAATTCCCTTGGGATTTTGCCCAACGAGATTCGTTCAGGAGTGACAAAAGAAAGTTCTTTGTCACAGAATGCTTAATTTATAGAATTTTTCTGCCATAACTTGTGGTGATGGCTACTTGTTTAAATGGGGATTAGACAAGCTCAGGAAGGATCAGACCACCTTGGCTATTGGTCAAGATGGCTATATGGGATCAGAACATCTGGGATCAGAGGCAGAATGCCTTTGAATGCGTCTGACTATAGATCAAAAGAGATCCACAGTCTGCTTCTGGACTTCACAAAAGCATTCAGATGGCTATTATAGGAAGCAGGGTGCTGGATTTGGTAGGCATGGAAGCTCAGGATACTGCCTTAGGACTGTCTACACTAACCGGAAGAAATATTAACAACCTCAGATATGCAGATGACACAACCTTGATGGCAGAAAGTGAGGAGGAATTAAAGAACCCTTTATTGAGGGTGAAAGAGGAGAGCGCAAAATATGGTCTGAAGCTCAACATCAAAAAAACGAAGATCATGGCCACTGGTCCCATCACCTCCTGGCAAATAGAAGGGGAAGAAATTGAGGTAGTGAGAGATTTTACTTTCTTGGGCTCCATGATCACTGCAGATGGTGACAGCAGTCACGAAATTAAAAGACGCCTGCTCCTTGGGAGAAAGGCGATGGCAAACCCAGACAGCATCTTAAAAAGCAGAGACATCACCTTGCCAACAAAGGTCCGTATAGTTAAAGCCATGGTTTTCCCAGTAGTGATGTATGGAAGTGAAAGCTGGACCATAAAGAAGGCTGATCGCCGAAGAATTGATGCTTTTGAATTATGGTGCTGGAGGAGACTCTTGAGAGTCCCATGGACTGCAAGAAGATCAAACGTATCCATTCTTAAGGAAATCAGCCCTGAGTGCTCACTGGAAGGACAGATCGTGAAGCTGAGGCTCCAATACTTTGGCCACCTCATGAGAAGACCCTGATGTTGGGAAAGATGGAGGGCACAAGGAGAAGGGGACGACAGAGGACAAGATGGTTGGACAGTGTTCTTGAAGCTACCAACATGAGTTTGACCAAACTGCGGGAGGCAGTGGAAGACAGAAGTGCCTGGCGTGCTCTGGTCCATGGGGTCACGAAGAGTCGGACACGACTAAACGACTAAACAACAACAACAACAACAACAACACTAACTGGCAGCAACTCTCCACAGTTTTGAACAGCAGTCTCTCACAGCCCTAGCAGGAGATGCTGGGAACTGAAATTTGGACATTCTGCATGCAGAGCAGATGCTTTGCTCCTGAGCTATAATCCTGTCCCTTAACCGAAACCCACAGACCTTCTGACCGGTCTCTTCTTACATTCCTGTGGACAAGTTACTGATTTGACAAGTAGTACTGAAATGGGGGCTTGACAGATTGATTGCTCAAATCAAATAATCAATCACATAGTAAAGTATAGATTTTAAATAGGATCCTATTTAGCCAATTAACTGCCAGTTCTTTGCTTGATTGACTAGTTAAGCACAATATAAATCTTACGTGATTGTGGTAACAAACGGACAGGTTTGAAAGAACCTGCAAGTCATTCTACATGCCCAGTGGGGCTTTGGGCTTGTATTTGCCAAACAGCAACCCTACTTACCATATGGCAAAATGGGTTGGAAACTGGGGAGACTCTCAAAAGCAGTTTGTGATACAACATTGGGGTGTGTGTCTGCACACCAAAGATCAAGGGAGGGGAGAGTTAAAAACGTCTCTGCTGGAATGCTTAAGCTTTTTGGATCCCAAGTTAATGAATTAAGAGCGCACTTTCCCCTAAACCTCTGGTGTATGGCAGGTACATGGCTTAGTGTAAATGCGAAAGGAAACACTTTATGTATGGAACACATTACAGTACTCATACACTGTGTGAAGACACAGAAAGTAAAGGGAGCTGTGTTGGCTCCTTAAAAAAGGATCCTCAAATTCTGAGTTAAGGTAAATCCATTATTAGATCAACCAAAATGCCACAAAATAATGCACAAACTTTCTAGTTCTTCAGAACTCTTAATCTGGCATTTTATCTGCTCTCACCATTAAATACTTGTACTATATGAGCATAAAAGTCTTACATTGTTTCCAGAAGAAGTCTGAGTTTGGGCATCGAGGAACCTCAAATGGGATTCCAGAGGTGATTGATCAAATAGGTCATGATGGTGGTATAGAAGAGAAGAAGGCCTCTTAAGGATATTGGATTTGTCAGGGTATGGCTCTTGAATTATGCAAAACCTGCCTTTGCACATAAACCACCTATCATCATGATGGGCATATTGAAATAATGATGACCTGACCTAAACCCATGGTTACAGCTACACTGTATGTTTAAAGTAGTTACACCACTGTAACAGTCATGGCTTCCCCCAAAGAATTCTGGGAACTGTAGTTTGTCATAGAGCTACAATTCTTAGTACCTTTAACAAACTGCAGTCCTCAGTATTCTTGGGGGGAAACCATGACTGTTAAAATGGCATAAGATTGATTTAAATGTATGATATGGATGTGATATTAAGCTGCACAGATCATTATTTAAATCAATATTTTTCCTCCTTCAAGATGGTTCTGTTTCCATTTCAAAAGCTGAGTTACATTTTGCTTTTTTTTGAGGTTGGGGGAACAGGTTACAAACTGCTTTTAGAAAGAAACGAAGATGGCATGTCCAGGACTTGAGCTTTATTCAGGAAAAGCAATGTACTTGTCAGAGTGTTACCTTGGTGAATCTCAAGTTGTTTTTTTACTTTCCCTAATTAAGCTCCCTTTAGAGATGGGCCCTCCAAGATGGGGACTACAGAGAGTGCTTGGCCTTCTTGTGTCTGGAATTGAATTCCTAAATTCCTCTCCTTGTCCCTACATCAAAGAGAAGTATATTGAGCTGTCTGAGGCACCAATTATGTTAACTGGGAGCTATTCAGAACCTTCCATTGTGATTTATTGCCAAGGGAAGAAGTTTTCAGACCCAAACGAGACAGGGAAGGCTGGCTCTTTGCCCAGTTATCAAAACTGATTGAGAGAAGGTATTAAAACAATGGGCAGATTAACATAGTCGATTAGCGTCCCAACATCTTTATCATTGTGACCTGGGCGCCTGTCAGCTCCAGAGTGAGGTGACCAACATGACTTAGATGTGTTGTCCATTAAAGGTCATCAGTGAAAATGGGATCAGATGGATCAGTCAAGGCTAAAGTTCACATTGTTGTGTACTGGCAATCATTAAGTGGTTTCAGTCAATAAGAGTCATTGGACCTAGAAGCATCTGCTATATAGAGAAATGGGGTTCATAAGAGGAATGGAAATGGCTTGGGAGAGAATGTGAATGGTAGGCATTGGTAGTTAGCAGCCCCTGGGCCAAGCTATGCTCTTAATGCAGTGATGGAGAACCTGCTGTCTTTCAGATGTTGTTGGGGTACCTAACCTACCTCACGGGGATATTGCAAGGCTAAAGTGGAGACCATCCATGCCAGCCTGAGCTCTTTGGAGAAAGGGTGAAACTCCCTCTTCTACATACCGGTAGTCATTCTACATAGTCATTAAAGATGCAGGAGCTCTTTATATCTGGTTGCCCCAGCAGCATACCTCTCTTTTCTCATATCAAGAAACATAAGAAGGGCCTTTACTCTCACCAGAAGCTCAGCCTTGCCCTTGCTGGTTTTGGAAGGAGCATTTGGAAAAGTCCCGTATGCTCAGAGACTTTGCGCCTGCCCATTAGGGGAAATAGGAGGCCCCGAACATTTATTTTTTAGATGTCCTTTTTATGAGGAGGTACGCAGAGATACCATTGATCCCCAGCTGGTGAGGCTTGCTGACCTTCCGGATAAGTCTAAACTCAATTTTTTCCTCTTAGGCAAAGACCATAAGATGACCTGGATGGTTGCCAGATTCTGCGTGCAGATTGGCAGGCACAGACCACCCCTCCGAAACAAATTAGTTTGCTAGGAAAACAGTCGAAGTCGGCCTCCAGGGTGTTAGGGCCAATTTGTATGGTAGCCCATATTTTTAGGTCTTTATGTGTATATGGGCTTATTTTAGATTTTAATCTTTAAGCTGTTGTTGTACACTGCTTTACATGTATATTTTATTCTTGTGAAAGCTTTTCAAGCTAGTCTTTGACCGTAATAAATTATGATGATGATGATATCTGGGTGCCTTATAAGTAGAAAGCTGCCTTATTCTAGGTCAGATTTATTGTCCCTCTAGCCCAGTGTTGTCTAATACAGCCTTCCCCAACCTTGGTGCCTTCTAGAAGTTTTGAACTATAATTCCCACCAGTCCCAACCAGTATGGCCAATGGTCAGGGATGATGGGAATGATAGTTCAACATCTCTGCAAGGCTGCAGATAGAGGAAGGCTGATTATAATGGGAGATGCCAGGGACTGAACCTGGAACATTCTGGGTACAAAGCAGGTGCTGCAGTCCTTCTATGCAGCTCATTGATTTTTCTGACTTGTGCCTCCCTCTCCTCCCAGGAGCATTTGGGGTGTGTGTGTGAAAGAGAGTGCGAGCACTAGAGAGGGAGAAGATTCAGGACTGAGTGAAAAATGTCCAAAGAGTAATTTTTTATGTTATAAACTGAAATGCAAACCCGATGGAGAACTATGGAAATGAGCAGCCTTGCCTGATCCATGCTCTCTCCATATTCCTATGCTAGCGATAATGAAAAGTGCCTTCAGGGATAGGCTGGGCTTATCATTCATCAGTGACACAGTCTTAAGTGGGTAATAACTATGGGCTCTCATATCTAGAATGTATATAAATTTTAGCTTCTCGGTATATTTGCTGCCGACTCTCTTTAATTTATACAATTCCTTCCGCTTTAAACCTGTCAATTGATAGCATTCAATCAATGAGGCTGGCTGATAATAAGGGTAGGAAGAGCTCTCTAGTGGTTAGAACAGGTGCTGGAGAGAGTTGTGGTTGCAGCTGGAAGAGCAGCATTCAGTCACCATCTGCAGAACTGGGCTGCTTCAGATACAGCAAACGTTCCTGAAAGGGAAAGCAGTTCCCGGTTGGTAGTTGCATCTGTCAGTTGCACCAGTTACTGGCCAGGACCATATCTGTGTAGGTATATTGCTACAGACTCTGTTTCAGGCAGATCTATATGCAACAGTGGATGGTAGGTTGCATATAGGGTAGCTGCTTACACATCCCTCCACAGTCACCAAAAACAAGGTCAAAAGAGGGCACTGATTTGCATGAAATCTGCACGCATTAATTTATGTCTTTCTATTTATTTTCATTATTTATTTTGAAGCATGTATAAACTGCTTGATATTTTAAAAATCTAAGTGGTGTATGTACATTTCTTTTTTAAAAAAGAAAACCCAATATCATTTAAAAAATACAGCCCAATACTAATAAGCAGTATAAGAGAATATAAAATTGTTTTAAAAAGAAAAAAAGAAAAGATTACACAGTTCTTTCTACCATCTCAGGATTCTCCCAGTCCATTCCCACTTCATTCTATTGCATGTTTATCCCAGTGCTCCCCCCACCCAAGGTGATTGGTGCTGAAATTGCTGACCATTTGATTGAGGCTATAGGTAAATTTCCTGATGTAAGGTTGAGAACAGCACTTGAAAGTGCAGGACTGTATGGGAGGGTGCAGAATAGGGGGAGTGCAACCCTGGTAAGTCTTGCGGTGGCTTTTGATGCCATGGACCATGGTATCCTCCTGAACCATCTCCATGAGCTGAGAGCTGGAGGCACTGTGAGTCTGTTTCTGCCTAACTATGGGGCCAGTCTTGGATAGTAGCACGGGGTGATTGTTTTTTGGCTCCCTGACAGTTATGCCATGGGGTCCAGTGCTGTTTAACAACTATATAAGTAATTGAGAATGGGCATTAAGGAGATGGAGCACGGTGTCATCAGTTTACTGTTGATACTCAGCTCTGTTTCTCTCTTACATCTTAATTAGGTGTGGCCCTACAAGCCCTGGACTAATGTCAAGACACAGTGGTGGGCTGAATGAGGGCCAATAAGATGAATCAGAATCCTGATAAGACGGAGACCCTGTGGACAAATGGTTCCTTTTTGCAGGAGTTGGAGAATATGCATGTTCTTGATAGTGTTTACTACATCTGTGGTCCTTTTTGTCCTCTTTTGGTAATGCATTCCCTTTTTTGGTAAATGTGCAGCTGGCCAGCCTAGATCTTCACTTGTGTTGTGTGGGCTCAGCTCATATCTCTGCAAAGATCCTTGTACTGCGGACCTGTATGTCCAAGAGAAGAATTATCCTGAATAATAGACAAGGAAGTAAAGGAAGTAAATTTATGTAATGCCCTAGACAAGCCTTTCTGTGTGGCAACTTTGTCCTGGTTAATTTATGAACTTGCTTCATTAATATCAATGGACATATTTCTTGCACAAACCAGTACAGGCTCTGTGGCATCAATATCTCCTGCACGTTTTTCTACTAAACTTTTATTGTTTCTTGTGCTCCTGGCTCATCTCTTTAAATACCCCCCCCCCCCATTTCAATCACTTGAGAGTACCTTATTTGAGCAAAATAACTCCTCCAGAAAGGCCCTGGCTTGATCAATAAACAAGCATTGAGCAAAGATAAATAAACTTGAAACAGACATCATAATTAACCTGCTCCAGCAAGAACAAAATGAATTAGTGATGATTGAACGTTTGGCAAAGAAAAAAAAAGTTCCTTTGGCTCCAGCTCTATGCAGTCTATTTCAATAGCTTGAGAATCTTTTGAAAACCCACTTGAAATGGCCAAGAGCTTGTGATGTTCAGTGATAGGAAGGAGAAAACAGGGCCTCCTTGCCAGACGAGAATGGGTGATGGCTTTTTGGAACTATGATGGAAATAAAGCTGTTGAAAGCTTTTAAAGATGCATACCGATGAAGCACAAAAGAAGGAAGGAAGATGACCGTCTTCAGCATCCCTGAACTTGCTTGAAAAAAAATATATGATGCCCTTCTAAGAATAAGTTTCCCAGTTTTTGGCTTCAGGAAACTGGCCTGCATCAGCTTGGAGGCACAGCAAAAACAAACCAATTGTTTATTGGTATGTCTGCTGAACAGGTGCTGTTCCCATTTTCACAAGTACCGGCTATTGTTCTCTCTTTATTTGCTTTTTTGAAATGGGAAGGCCCAAAGTTGCAGAATAAGAAAGGATAATTCTTTCAGACCCTTTCCTGGTGTTTCTGCAACAGGCAGGCAGCAAGATCCAAATAACTGTAAAACCAGTCCCACAGCCCGAATGGAGCTACCAATGATTTTCTAGAAAAGCTGCTCTCCCCCATACTCTAAAGGTGGAGAACCTCCGGTCTCAGGGAGTGAATGCAGCCCTCTGCAGAGGTGGAGCATATCTGCCCAGGGCGGGTTCACTCCTGAGGGGGTGGGGTGCACTCCCGAGGAGGGCAGGACGTGGGGCGCACTGCTGAGGGGTGCGGGGGGTGCCTTCCCACATGCCACAGTTCAGGATAGGAGAGGAGTGGGGAAGCTGCTGCTCACTTTCCTTCTGCTCTCCGCAGCTGGGTCAGACATTACCCGGCAATGGAGCTGCTGCAGCTGGGTGTGCCTCGGCATGGCTGAGGAGGGCTGCTCTCTGCCACCAGGTCAGAAGAGCTGCTGCTGCCAGGCGTGAGGTATGCTGCCCACTCGCCTGCCATTTTGTCATCCCCCTCAGTCATGACACCCGGGGTGGACAGCACCCACCGCACTCCTCTGGCCCTTTGGGCCTTTCTGTCTCCCCAAGCCACACCCCTCACTGGTCCTGCTTTGCATCCTGAGTGTTTTTGCCAGACTGGAATGCGCCTTGAATTCCAGTAATGCCCTTGCTTCTCTGGTTGGAGGATCAGGAGGGGTGTGTAAATGTGTGTGTAGAAGCTTGCTGTACATAAAGGTATATGAATCTGGCAACCTGTACATGAGCTGGAGATTCCAAGGGAAAAGCACATGGCACAACCCCCTTGCATGAACTGAAATAACTATTTGGTCAATGTAGCTCCATTAAGCGTGGACTTATGGGGGGGGGCAAACATCAGCAGAGGGTGAGTCGCAGATGGTGGGTGTGAACACTGTTTGGCAGGTGCTACCAAGTCAAGTGTTGTGCTGGCTAGGTTTCACCAAGAATACCCCAGAGGCATTCTGGGAAATGAAAATGGGGGGAGGTAGCTGGAGTTTTGTCAGATGCATCAATTTGCTCATTTATTTTGCTACGTTTATGTCTTGCCCTTCCTCCAAGGAGCTCAAGGTGGCATACATGGTTCTCCCCACTCAATTTAACCTCATAGCCACTGTTAGCCTGACAGATAGTGACTGGGCCCAAGGTGACCCAGGGTAAGTAAACACCAGCAGGGCAGCAACAGCAGTGGTGATAGCAGGAGGGGTGGAGGGAGAAAGGAGAGTTGTGTAGCTGCTCATAAGATAAAAAAGGAAAGCAGGGAAACAGCAGCAGCAGTGCCAGGGAGTGGTGGAGGGAGAAAGCAGTTGTAGGCAGGGCAGTGGGAGATAGGGAACAACCAGCATGACATGGTGGTCCCCCTAGAGAAACTGATAGCCACCAACTTGGATGGCTTTAAAAGAGGATTGGATGAATTCATGGAGCATAAGGTTATCAATGGTTGATGGCTATGCTGTGCCTCCATGGTTGGAAACAGCAATGCTTCTGAATACCAGTTGCCAGAAGCTACAGGAGGAGAGAGTGTTCTAATGCTCAAATCCTGCTAGCAGGTTTCCCACAGGCATTATTGACTATTGTGAGAACAGGATGCTGGACTAGATGGGCCATTGGCCTGATCCATCAGTGCTCTTCTTATGTTCTTAGTTTGAGGAGGGACACGGTTATAAAAAGTTTGGTACCTCCTTCCTTCCTACCACTTCTTCGATCCAGTGTTAGAAACTGAGATATGAAAGCTAGGAGCTAAATAGCACCTTAAACCTAGGTTATGGGTACAACAACGGAATGTCTAGGTGTGCTTCTTATAACAAGAATACAAAGCTGAAAATGAATGAACTGCAGCTAAATTATTATGTTCATTTTTCACATGGTCTAGTCCTTCCCCTGCCCACCCCCTAATATTCTTAAGAGGGTCTCTTCTCCAGTCTTCAGAGAGTAGCTGGAAGTGGGGAGGGAGAAAAAGGTCCCCTTTCCTTCCACTCTGCAGTTTTAATCTGAAATCTTTGGCGCAGTACTGTGCCCAGAGCTTAGAAATAAATTCCCTGTCGCAAAATGCGCCTAGAACAATGGGAGTTTTCAACACTGTTTTGATCCTGACTACCCTTCCGGAATTGGGTTTTCCTGTTGAAAAGGGGTCTTTGGGGATAGCACTACGTGTGTTTGTGTATAATGTCTAGCCTGACCCTCAAATAGGGTGGGTATGTTTCTTGCTTTGCAGAGGGCAGTTCTCCCTTTGAAAGAGTTTTTCAATTGAAGGGCTGCTGGGTCCAAGTCCAATTTAAGTCCAGATGAAAAATAAAGAACCAGGAGAAGCAGGTTATCTTGGAGATGCTCATTGGTATTTAGGACCTGGGCAGCAGACTGAGCATCCAAACAGGCCACTGGGTCACAGGTGGTGTGATGCATTGCATTTTTATTTACATTATAGTACTTAATTCTAAACGTGCATCTGTACCTATAAAGTAGGGACGCGGGTGGCGCTGTGGGTAAAAGCCTCAGCGCCTAGGACTTGCCGATCGAAAGGTCGGCGGTTCGAATCCCTGCGAAGGGGTGCGCTCCTGTCGCTCGGTCCCAGCGCCTGCCAACCTAGCAGTTCGAAAGCACCCCCGGGTGCAAGTAGATAAATAGGGACCGCTTACTAGCGGGAAGGTAAATGGCGTTCCGTGTGCTGCGCTGGCTCGCCAGATGCAGCTTGTCACGCTGGCCATGTGACCCGGAAGTGTCTGCGGACAGCGCTGGCTCCTGGCCTATAGAGTGAGATGAGCGCACAACCCTAGAGTCTGTCAAGACTGGCCCGTACGGGCAGGGGTACCTTTACCTTTACCTTTTTACCTATAAAGTAGCATATGCAAATGTTATGCAAACCAGAACCCTATTTTGCACCCTTTTTCTTTTTTTTGACAATGCGTATGTGGCCATCCTACACTTAAAATGGCACCTATGGATAGCTCTCTCCTTTTCTCCATGTTGTGGATTCTTTGCTGGGCCTATAAAATGGGAACCTCTATGCAAGGCACCCTCTGGAGGTCTATCCCTGAAAAACAAATATGCTCTTCCATGCTTTCCCATTAAAAAGTTATAGCTTTTTAGGTTTCATTTAGACACATGTAGCCTTGCATAAGCATCAAGTATCTTTATTATTTTTTCCACCTCAAAGCTCTCTTTTCGTTTAATGCACCAGCCAACGGCAACACCTCTCCAAATGATTGTGCTTTGACATATTTACAGTCGTTGAGCCTGCAACTTTCCAGGCAATTGTTTCCAAACAGACAGTACAGAGGAATATAGTCAAATACAGCACAGCTGAACTACTGACTGACAGAAAATGCTTGTTGATTTCTGTGTTTGAACCTTTACTTCTTCTTTTTTAAATATGTTATTATTCCAGGGTTGGCAGTCGGTGCTATTTTCAAGGAGCTGGAAGGGAGCCACAAACAGGAATTATTGAACAATTGCTCTGTGAAACTTAAGATAACAGTTTGTTCCACCGTCGTGGAATTGCTTTGTGGTTGAAGGAAATTATCTTTTTAGCTCTTGATTAACATTATATGGGGAAAGTAAAATTCAGGTTTGATCTTATCTGTCTCAGCAACAAACCTTTCTGAATTTTGAAAATAAATAAAATCAAATAAAGACAAGTGAAAATGTGTTAAATAATGATATTTTTGTGCTAAATCTGAGCAAGTTAAATTCTTAGAAAATATTTGTACATATTTTTAAACCTGTGGGCATTCATCTAATATCAAATTGATTAGCTACTCAGAAACTATTGTAATAATAAAAACAATACAATTAAGAAGCTTTGGGTTAACTAAATATTAAAAAAATAGGCAAGCTTTTCTTTTATTACAAACTTCACAGAAAGGAGATCAGTGCAGAATTTTAATAAATGCTCATAGCTTTTGCACACCTGATTCAGATAAATATCACTAGAAGCAGCTAGTGTGATGGGATGGAGCTGCCTTCCTGTCACCACTGTCTCTGCAGGTTACATGGGTAGGGCTGGGGTGGGGCAAGGATGGAGCAAGGCATTGTTAAGGTTATGGCTGCATGAATGTACTGGTATGACTGCTGGATTCAATCTGCTGGTGCATCTGTGCACCAGTACCACTCCAGCCTACCACATTGGCCACTGCTGATTATCACCATCATTTAATATGTACTGGGAATAACACAATAATGAAACTGACAAGCTTCTCCTAATAGATTTACAGTTCATACATCTGGCATCTCTGTTAAATTTGCCTCTGACTGTACACAGGGCCAGTACTGGGCTTGTGACCCAATCAGGACTAGGTACAGCCACAATTTGTATGAATGGGTGCCGTCACAGTGGTAGGGTAGCCATTTATGCACTGGCAGATAGAAATAAAAAATGAAACAGAATGCATCGCCAAAAAGGACACAAACTTGCATAAATTCTGCATGCCCTAATTTATATGTATAAGATGAAAATTTAGAATTAATCACTATAATTTAAATATAAATGAAATGGTGACTGACT